TTACTCCCACAGACACAGAGGGGCCATCTGAAGACCTGAACTCACACTGAACAAGAGCAAATGGAGATAACATTAAGTACTGACCACAGCGTAATCTTCATAGTTCCTTCTGTATGGGAAAAAAAAAGTGACTCTGTATTACATTTTCTTAACTTATAATCATTTCAGCATGATTACTTTAACTTTCAACCTTTTCATTATATTTTAAAATTATTATGCTTATTTCAATCAGAAAAGATATTAGACGCACATAAGCAGAAATGCCACTGCCTCCTGTGTCTGCATGAGAACCAGAGGGTGAAGAAGCTAAGAACTATATTGTACTGGCTGGATGGTATCAGTTTATCACGTTTCCCTCTGAAGCCTCTGGCAGAAAGACATCTAGATATGGAGCCCTGACTGGAAATTCAAACTTCATGTTTGTGACAGAAGACTCACAAAGCAAGTGACTACCTACCTGAAGAAAGGCAGAAACTAGCTCCAGATAAAACATGATAAAACACTGATTTCTTTAACTAACAGAATTCCCAGTTATAAGAAAGTGATGTCTCGTGAAATATAAGGTCTTTTTATTACTGTCTTATGAGAGGATTGACTCCTCCAGTGGAGCCATGCTAGCTGGAAAAGGTCATATTTACATTTCTTTTCCATAGCTCACTCATTGAATGCGTTAAATTGAATGTGTTAAACCAAAACACCCCCCCCCCCCAAAAAAAAAAAAAAACCCTTACATCTTTGGGGACAAATTTCTAAGTATTCAGAACAAGAACTGTCCCTCATTGCCCTCAATTCTTCTGCGAGCTTTCATTCACTGTTAAGAGCAGCTTCTGAAGTAGAATGGTGCAGTCAGACCACCAGAAGGAGCTTGTGGCAACTATGCAGGAAAAGAGCAATTCTATAAATCCTTCAGATTTCATCATTTGCTTTATTATTGGGTACTGTGAATGTATGTAATCCCAGCATTCACTTCAGGAAAACTCAGCTCTGTCTGTCCTAGAGAAACCATAGGAAAGCAGTTTTCACACATATTCACAAAGAGAACACATTACTGTCTCATCTGACAGTCTCTCCAGCAGGTACTAACGTTGAAAGCAAAGGGGTCAGATTCACCTGCGTGCAGCTGTCTTCAGTGTTATTATTAATGGCTGCTGGGTCCCAGCTGTTATTTTGTTTGGGGGATTTTTCACTCTTCTTGGCCCCTGACCCCCATTTTAATCAACCCTAGCTTTCCCTCTGCTTGAAGTGTACAAATAGAGCAGATTTGCTTGCCCCTTCCAGACATGGTGGGTAATATATTAGGACTTAGTTCAAGAAATAGCTTACTGTTGAAGCAGTTAACAGTATAGCAACTTCATTATGGACCAGAATTCATAAACTGTACCTGTGTGGGTTCTTCCAGTTGTCAAGAAACAGGGTTTGCTCCTGAATGGGAAATGGAACAAACTACCAAAACGACAGTGTAATCAGATAAAGTAACTCTGGCAATATAGGTAGCAACACAAAAACTTATATGGAAACATAAAATGCAGTAACACTACTGATAAGCTTGTTGAGTGGACCAGATGTTAGGCTACAACAAAAGAAAGATGTTGCAAACCCTCAGTAATTTTATGGGATGAGACCAAGAAAGAGAATTATTTCTTTCCCACTCTCAGTAAGAGTACTAAATTACCTTTACTGACTCTATTTTATATCACATCTTGGCAATTGTCTTGATTCCTGTTGTAATAGATTTTTTTTTTTCCCCTTTTCTGTAACTCTTCATGCTCTACTTTCTTCCATCCACATGATGGACAACCACAATGAAAACAATGGGCTTTTGCATGTGAATTAAGAATATTTGATCTGATCCATTCTCTTTGAAAAAGTGGTACGCTAGATGAATACTGCTACTTTATACTTACAGATGAATGTATAATAGAATAATCTATTTTTTAAAGCACATTTATGCTTTATGTGTCCAGTCATGGATTTCACAAGCTAAAACGGTTTTTAGAGACCAGTAGCCAGCTATTTGGTTCTTTGTGTAATCTTTTCAGATTTTTTTTTTTTTTTAATAAAGGAGAAAGTATTGTTTGTGTTTTGAAACAAATAATAGCTTCTTACATAGATTCTACTGCCTATCTAAAAAATCTCACTTTCTGAAGCACACTATAAAACAGACACATCCTTCATCTTTATCCACACAGATATTAATGAGTGGAATAAAAGTAGTCATTAATAATGTATAATTTAATGTAATTTCTGACATAAGCATGCAGTGAAAGTGGATTAAATGGCCAAAATGAAAGTAAAAATTGGAGCAGAATACGGAGCTTATTAGGTTGTGCTGCTGCTTTTGCTCTGACCATGTTGCCTTACTTGATGGAAAGATTTCTCTTTCACACAGACATATAGCTCAATGTATACACAATGTATACAGAATATATACACAGAGGTCCTTGGGTAAATTCTGTTGTAGAAACACAAACTATTTAGTGGGCATATAAGCACTGAAATCTCTTTGTAGAAGAGGAAAAGTTTAAGAGTATTATACCTTATCTTGATTCTTTTGGTATTTTATGCTGGAAAACAGCAGTTCCCAATCTTTTCTGAAAACAAGCTTTATATGAGTTCATATGAGTCTACTGTAGTGGTCTCTTTGCCACTTGTCAGCAGTTACTCTGCCTACTTCTTCTTTAGCTTAGCTGGCTTGACCATTGGTAAGATATCTCTGTTTTGGGATAGGGAAAGGGTCAAAGGAGAAGCTTTGACAAAGATTTGACACAGCAAATAATCAAGGAAATCAGGAAGACAAAACTGCAACATAGTTGCTTTAGTCAAGTGGTCTAAATGCATGGGAGAATGTACATGAACTCACAATAGACAAAAATTTAACTGGGCAGAGCTGGCATAGGTCTAGCAGATTTTGTTTGCACACCTTGCTATGTTTCATCTGGGAACCATTATGACAGATGCAATGGGAGAAACATATTGTACATGGAGGAAAGTGCATGGAAGAAAGAAACATTTTCAGTTTGGGGCATTACTGCCTCTTCCCCTTCTCTCTCATCACAGCTGACAGAGAGAGTGATAAGGTGTGAAACCCATCTAAAGAAAGCAGTAATTAGAGGGAAGCTGAGAAAACAGAAGTGAAGAGACAGTGAATCTTTTGCCTTCCAGTCCTCTGGATCTATTTACAAAAGTACAGACACCAATGTTGAAATTAGAGAGATTAGATTTCATTATGCCGAGAAATTTCTCTCAAGAGGATTACATTTATCATCCTGTATAATGAAAACTAGTTTTTGACAGTTCCATCTATACGTAACACTCCACCATGCAAATGCTAGGTGGTGACTCACCATGCCAGAGAAAACAGGACTTTATTTGTAGAGTGCATTTTTGGAGTCCACTGTGTCTAGCCTTCTTACAGATTATTATTATTATTGTTATTATTATTATTGTTATTATTATTATTATTTCTTTTATTAAAGAAACTCATCATTGTTCAGCAAATGAGATATCATTAAGTGGATCATCTTCATCTTGATAGAATTGATTCAGGAGCTGAATTATAGACATAGTAATTGTAATCACCTAATGGAGAATGTGCCTGAATTTATAAGTAAGATCTGAATTCAAATAACGTATAAGTAGGTAATAAACCAATTTCAAGATTTCCTGGTAACGTCTCATCATCAATACCCAACACTTACTTGACTGTTTTGCTCTCCTGGTATAAGTTTATCACTTTCTCTTTTAAATAATGAATTACACAATTGGCATAGGTCAAGGAGTTGTAACTGAAAGATTATGGGAGCTGTTGTAGAAAGACTGGGATTGTTTTAATATTCTTTTACTTTTTATGTTGTACCATAGATTCATGACAAAGGAAAACTGGGAAAAAAAAAAAAAAAGAGAGAGAGAGAGGGAGATTAGTTTTCCAGGCTGCTGTTATAAGACTATCCTGATAAATCAGATTTTTTCTGAAATTCCTGATGCATCATTTTAATGAAGATAAATGACCAGGGAATCTATTTCATGCTTTGGTATGTAGAAGTCAAAAATTGACAAGATATTGTCTTCCCTCCTTCCCTCCTTCCTTCCTTCCTTCCTTCCTTCCTTCCTTCCTTCCTTCCTGTCTGAAACTGCCTGTTGTGTCCTCCAAAATGTATTTAAGTATGGTCTAGGTAAAACCATCAAAAGGTTAGATCTGAGTTTTATTAGTGTCTCAATCAAAAACCATGTCTGGATTAAGGTGAAATATTTGGTTACAGATTATAAGTGAGTCTACGTGTTCTCACAGTTTCTTTTTTCCTTGCAATGTAAGAAGCAGGGTGACACTGAAATAAAATTCTGATGTTTTTGAATTCTGTACAAAAGAGTTTTAAAAATATGCAGCAACTATTTTAATCATTATGTGGCAGCTTCAATGTGATTTCAGTTTTCATGTTTATCAACATATATGTGTATAGTTTATGTCACCAATTCCTGTTTATACATTTAAAAGAGCTTTCAATAGAACTTGACTCCTAAGGGAAAATCCCAAGTCACTTAGTCACTTCTGAAATGTTGCAACCTGTTATTACACTGTCATTACCTAATCAGTCTGCATTCTTCCTTTAGAAGGCTGTTTATATGGTGAAACAGGACTGTAGTAACTGTAAGTGTGAATTCACAGAATGTCTATAGAAGGATTTGTTTCCTGTGTCTTTTTTATCACTCCAGCAAATTAGCAATTTCTCCATGCAGACAACCTTAGTATTCCATAGTCTGGGTCCTGTTGAAATTTAATCTTTCTGGCTCACCTTCTATTTTTTCCAAAATAAAGAAGTTCCTCCATCTTTGCTCTCACAAGTGAAAACAGTGTCTTCCTGTGCCTCACTGGCAAAAAACATTTTGAAGAGTAAGCTGCTCCTATTAACACACGGAAGTGTTTGAATGCTGTGGTACTATATAAGACATGTCAAACCCCCAAAACCAGTGATTCTTCCCACCACTCCTCTTGCACAGGGGCACCTGAAGTCACTTAATTTTGATTAAGAGGAAGGAATATATATTGTTTCTGGCAGTATATGACAGCTGATGGGACATAATAGGAACTCACTTTGCTTTTTTCCTCTTAGCTGAAAGGTATGGTATTTTCTCATATGTATGACTAAAAGTTGTCAAACCACATCAAGTCTTTGATTTATTTATTTATTTGGCCTTGCAGGCTTCTAGCTATTATGTTTGAAGGTCCTTGGGGAGAGGCTGTTGAGAGCACTAAAGAGGTGGGCTTTTGAGCTGGTGTTTTTCTTCCTTATTTTGATTTTTTACCAAATCAGAGGATATGTGTAGTTTAAGACAGATGGCTGTTCTTGTTGTATGTTGAATAACGCTGACTAACATGGAGAAGCTTTGGGGCACTGTTTAGGGGAGGAGGGGCATAGGGGTGTCTGTTGTAGTTGGTGATGTGCAATACACTGAGCTTGTTGCTGTTTTAAGGCTGTATCTCTAGTTGTCTCTATAAACTGATGGAAATCTGTGGGTTGTATTAATTTTGCCTGTTGAATAACTACTGAATCACTTTAACTGAAAACCTCTGTCTTTTTCTTGTTGTTATGGCACTTGCTTTTTTTTGACAGTCTTTTCCTTCCTATCCCAAATAGTCCATTTCCTCTAACAGTTGTGCAAATAACAAGGAAGGAATTCATGACACACGGGAAAAGCAGAGCTCTTTCTACTAAATATTATTCTTACTGTTAAAATAAATTGACATTGCATAAAAATTCTGGTTGAGAAACATTGACCATTAAAACCTTTAAAATGATGGAAATAATGTTGATATTCAAGTGGTTTTTTTTTTTTTTTTTTTTTTTTTTTTTTTTTTCCTTTAGTTATGGTTGTGAATACACTACCTTAACATCTGGGATGAAGAGAATTATTTTTTGCATCCTATAGAATTGAAAAATGGATAGACTTCTGTCTATCCATTCTATTCATATCCCTTCTGTCTATCCTGCCCTGGTCAGGCCTCACCTGGAATAGTGTCCAATTCCGGGTTCCCCGGTACAAAAATAGACAGGGATCTCCTGGAAAGACTCCAGCGGAGGGCCACAAAGATGATACGGGGCCTGGAGCATCTTATGAGGAGAGGCTGAGAGAGCTGGGTCTGTTCAGCCTGGAGAAAAGAAGACTGAGAGGGGACCTTATCAATGCTTATAAACACCTTAAGTATGGGAGACAAAGGGACTTGGCCAACCTCTTTTCAGTGGTTTGTGGGGACAGAACAAGGAGTAATGGTCACAAGATAGAGCACAGGAAATTCTGCACCAACATATGAAAGAACTTTTTCACGGTGAGGGTGACGGAGCCCTGGAACAGGCTGCCTAGGGAGGTTGTGGAGTCTCTTTATCTGCAGATATTTAAGGCCCATCTGGATGCCTACCTGGGAAGCCTGCTCCAAGGAACCTGCTTTCGCAAGGGTGTAGGACCCAATGATCTTTTGAGGTCCTTTCCAACCCCTACAATTCTGTGATTCTGTCTGAAATAAGTAATTTTGTATTACAAAGATACTATGGTATTTTGTGTATCGATATCTTTAAATTTAAAAGAAATGAAATAGACCTTTCCACATATCTCAGAAAAGAAGATCTGAAAAAGACTTCAAATCATTAAATGCACATAAGGCTTACTTTTAAAGTTAAAAATGTGTAATCTTTGCTTGATTCATTTTATTGGCTTCATAGGCACTAATGTAGGCACATGTGAGTTTTTAAAAAGTATTTGTATTTGGAAACACTTTTTTTTCTGTTTGTTTCTATTAGAACAATTAGGATATTTAAAAACAAATTTGTAATAATTATCTAAATATCTTAAATAAAAATTACTACAGTTTAGTTTAAGCTATATCAGCATTAATATGAAATAAAAGAGTGCTTGAGTATGTGTTATCCCTAAAATGAAGATATAAACCAGGGAAACTTATAGTTAAAAATTATATGAAGAACAGACTGAAGAAACTCTTAACTATGTACTATGTTAAGATGTGTGAACACCATTAGTATTTTTATTTTTAATGTAAGTTTTGGTTAAGATTTTCTTAAAGTTGATGGACCTAGAAATTTAAGCACAATTCTGGTTCTTAGGATTAACATAAGTTAACTAAAAAAAAAAAAAGATCTTTATATTATGTTCCTCAAGTTATCAGCTCTAATTCTAGGCAAATGTAGTACTTTTGTGAGGAAACTATACTTCCTACAAAACAATGGACTTTGTAAACAAATATTAATCCTACATTAAATCCCAAGAAAATGTTAACCTGAGTTATGTCTAATGAAATAATATCCTGAAATCCTTGTAAAAAGCAAACAAGCTTTTCACTTATTTATTTATTTATTATTGTGACAAGATTAAATACCTCCTTGAATGCTGTTTTATGTTCATGGTACTGCTGTTCCAGTTCGAAGTGAGCCAGCTACAGAAGTGTAATTACAAGTTCAGAATGGCAGTATTCAAGGTAATATTCAACCCAGAGCTGTAAATGAAAGAAACAAACTGTTGATGAGAACTCCTGACATAGGTCTCTAGTCTCTGCCATATTACTAAAGTATCACCACAAATAAGCTTGCTAATGCAAATCATGAGCAGAAGGAAGCTTGTGAGTGGCTGGGTAATTCCGATTTTGTCTTCAATTTAATTTCTAAGCATGCTCATGTTATAATTATAATATGAGCAAGAGCTAACAGTTTAGCTTAAATATAGTCAAATGTCATCAATTAAACCTGATTTTCAGTAAAAATTAAATCAGTAGTTAATAACATCAGGAAAGGGAAAGAGAGGTGCAGCTCTGAGAGGTGTTTTTTTCTAAAATTAGTGAAAAGATGCAGTTGTTAATTTCATCTCATTCTGGTCTTGAACATGAAAGCTGCCGGCTTTGGGGAGATGGCCTAATAAAAGGGGTGAATCACTGTTTTGAGTAGAAAATATAACTCAGTTAAACCAAACATCACATTTACTAAAACCTTTAACTGTCTTTTTTGTGTGTGTCTATTCGTGAGTTATAAAAAGAAACAGAAAAATCAATAATAAAATTGAAAAGACAAATATCCCCAAATCAGAAGAGGACAGAAGTTGTCCATACAGTCTTACTTCAACATGTGGAAATGTAACTTGCTGGATTTTATTAAAATATCATAGTATTTTGTCATCTGATTGAGCCCCAGCCAGTGCCATTTATCATTTCTATCAGGTCCTCTCCTTTATTTATACTTTCTGCAATTTCAAATCCAGTGTCTGTCAGGATTCTTGTCCCTCCTTTTCGAATGTCTAGTATGTTATCTACATCCATTGGCTGTAAAGGCCAATCTGGTGTTTGCTGGTGGAGACGCTGGAAATACTGGACAGGTTTTATCTCTGTGGTCCTCTTGGAGCCTGCACACAACACATTCTAGAGCAGTAAAGAATTGCACACTCATATAAAAATCCTTGACAGCTGCAGCTGCAGTTTGCAGGTAATTAAGTTCAGCAGGGTTTTAACGATTGTATGCAAGTTTATATTTGTCTTGTTATTCAGATGCAGCAGGTAGATGGAGGTTCTGACTCTTTCTTCAGTAATCTATAATACACTGTTGAAAGGTAAAATATGGCCAAGAAAGATTCAATCAAATGCTCTGAATGAAATTCCTATGCAGAATAAACTTTGCAACTGTCTGCAACAAAGCACACAGCATGTAAACCCTTTGTCATGAAAACAAAGGAATTTGACTACAAATTCTTTTACTCTGATCTTGTTTGGGCAGTTCATTGCCTTGAACATGTGCACACAGATCATTTCATTTAGGCATTCAGAGCACAGAGTACTCCAGACTAAATGATTTCAAAGTTCATGATAGCATAATCAAGCAAACATGGGTCTTAGCTTGGGAAATTTGAATAACCTTGTTGATAAGCGCTGGTTCAAGCTCTGCCCCTAAGAACAGGACAGATGTCTTCCTTTTCAAATACTAGGATTACTTTCTTATGCTAATTCTATTATGTGAAATGAAATGTTACTCATGAAAAAACAACGTTCAAGAACTCAAAAACAGTGTTACATAATACATTTCAAAATATCTTTTTTTTTTTTTTCCAAAGTCTACAGAAATAACAGATAAAGCTTCCAATACCATCACCTATTCCTTTACATCTAAGAAATACTATTATGCAATAGTATATTGCATAAAGTATATGCATTGTGTGATACTTCCCATGTTTCATGGGGAATGGTTTGCATTAGGCTGAAAATTAGACCTTCTTTGTTAAAAATATTTAAAATTAATATTGTGGAAGTAAAAATAAATGCAGACTGGGGGAGGGAGGTTTGTTTTTGAAAAAATGGCATATGTAAGTATTCTTGGTTTCAGATACCCTTTAGATACGTTGAGTTTGTATGCAAATTTTAAGAGTATATAGGAGAATATAGAGAGCTCAGTCAGCTGACATATGAAAAATCATACGCAAAATTAGTACATGGTCTCAAACAATAAGATTTGTTAATCTTGTGTTGCAGACAGCACCAATTGACAGTTCTTTACAAGCTATGTCCTTTGTAGTTTCCTAAGTGCATCGTTAATACAGTGTAGGTAAAGTGTTTCAGTTTTGGCTACATGTTTCATTGCATCCTTTATTTTAGGAGATTTCAGTGACTCTAGCAGTTGTTTGGAAACAGTGGTGTATATGTCAGTTGGGGAGTGTAATCACTTTAAAGTGATAGCAATGAAATTTTCTGTAAGGAAGTTTTCATTTGGCCTGTAAGATCATCTACATAAAACCAACGATACCAGCTGGCAAATTGCTTTGATACGTGCATAAAACAAGTACCTGAGCTTGCATTTCTTGCAGAGAACTTGTGCTTTCCCTTCTGAATATGGAGGCATAGTGAAGCAAATGCAGCATAGACTGAGATGAAGTAGATGAAGTAGATCTTGGGTAGAGTATTGGGAAGTGAGGGTGAAAGGTGAGAGGACTGGGCCCTGCTTTGTTGGGGAAGGGAAAGGAGATCATTTGCATGAAATTGCAATAGAGGGATGAGCAGTACTGATGTGCAAATGTGAGATGAGAACAAAGTGAGGTGCATCTTCTTCAGGATGCATCTGGGCACTGGCACATGGCTGAGAATCCATTCTGCTACTTTTTTTTTTTTTTTTTTTTTGGACATGTTTTGTCACAATTCAATGTTAGTTTATTTGTTTGAAACTTTTTTTTAAATTTATTTATTTTATTTATTTATTTTTAGAGTTTTTGTCCTGATTTCAGCTAGGACAAAGTTAATTTTACTCCTAGCAGCTGCTACGGTGCTGTGCTTTGGATTTAAGATGAGAATAAGGTTGATAACACAGTTTTAATTGTTGCAGAGAAGTGCTTAGACTCTTCAGCATCTCATGATCCCCAGCTTCCTCGCTGGCAGGGCATGCACAAAAGGAGCTAGGAGGGGAAAGAACCAGGACCGCTGACCCAGACCGTCCAAAGGGATATTCCATACCATATGACATCATGCTTATATGGGGTGTCTGGGCCGGGTAGAGGGATGCTTGGGGATAGCCTGAGCATCAGGAATCAGGTAGGAAGCAATTGCATTGTGCATCACTTGCTTTGCACATATTATTTTTATTACTGTTATTATTATTTTTCTTCCTTTTCTGTTGTATTAAGCCCTCTTTACCTCAACTCATAAGCTTTTACTTTTGTTCTCTGATTCTCTTCCCCCCTCCTACTGGGGTGTGTGTGGGGGTAAGTGAAAGGCTGTGTGGTGCTGAGCTGCCTGGTGGGTTAAGCCACAACAGTTTGAAAAGTTACATGTATACGGTGGAATTCACCATTCATGCTGAGATTTTTACATGCTATACAGTATAGAAACTAACTTATTCTATAATAAATTGTTCATCAGGCTATGTAAAACTAAATAAGAATTTCAGGGGAAGTGTAGCAGAAGACAGCAATTTATTTGTACAAAAGAGCAGAAATGTGAGAAGAAAGTACACTTTATCTTCAGCTTAATTACTAAGATAGAAGAATACAATCTTGATTGAATACATGCTGAACTAAGGCTTTGGTGTGGGAAAACTACTTTACCTTTGTTTTTGTGTGTTTGTGCAGCTGTGAGTCATTTCAGTTCATTTTCCCATCTTTATATCAGTGGAAGTCCATGGAATAGATGGTTTTATGTACTGATAAAGGCATCCACCTGATTTACAATGCTTTTTGAAATCAGGAAGCTACACTTTGCTTCTGGGTAACTATTTTCTAATTTATTTGTCAAATTACTATATATAATACATCTTATAAACAAATACATCAGATTTTTTTTTTTTTTTTTGCATATATATATATTGTAAATTAAGGATTATTTGTTTTTATATTTTTTTTTTTCTAGGGTGATGAACAACCTTCTTCCTTCAACCCTTTTTACCCCTATATGTACTGGGGAGAAAAGAAAGAATTTGGACTTGATCTAGTACTGTGGGCCACTAAACTTCTGTTTTCTGAAAGACCTTAAGAGCTATGAATGGCTTGAGTACATTTCAGTGTGTACATAATTACTAGGCGGCTTCCTTCCCTTTTTATGTAAGAGTGGCACTCCGCAAGCTGGAGATACAAAAAAATAATTACCCTTTTCAGCTATGAAGAAACAGCTAGGAATGTCCTTGATGTTTTTGTGGTTTTAAGTAGTACTGAAGCAAGGATGTGGTCAAGTTGCTTAGAGTTCACACATATCCTCCTTTCCCTGCTCCCACCTCAAAAAAAACAAACAAACAAAATATCCTCAGCCATGCAACCAATTACCAGGAGCTGTATAGGTAAATTTTCTAGTTGGTTTTCAGTAGATGTCTTTTGTTTTTGAGTCTCTCTAGCTCAATAGCATAGATTCTTGTTTCAGCAATACTAAGTATCCTGTTCAGCACTGTTGGAAGAAATGGAATTTTAACCTCCATTATAAAGCTTTCCTCCAGTGCTTAGCTTTCATAGTGCTGTATGATATTTGCATTTTTTCCTTACCATTTCTTTCTGCAGTTATATCTGGAGATATTTCTTGTCCTATTCTTAGCCCTGTTGTTCTTTTCCTTTATTAACAACCCTGGATGATTCTATTGTTTTCCTTTAGATTTGCTCCCATATTTTTTACAGAAAAGCATATAATTTTCAAAAGCATATAACTGCTACAGAAAGCCACAGGCAAGTCTTCATATGGGTATATGTTGCCTTTTGTTATATATTTCTTTAGTGTTTTTAAACCACCCATCTAGTAGGAAAGTCTACAATCTTAACATCTTGTTCTGAATAGAAATGCAAAAAATATTTTGGAATAATAGAAGAGAAAATGAAAGTCAAGTTTATTTAATAAATAATACATTCTAAATCTTAAACACATTTTAGCAAAAGCCTGACTGTTGCATATATTGTAACGATGGAGAGCTGCTATCTGCTGTAGAGTACCAGCCATCAGGCAATAGGCACTTCACCATTCTAATTCAAAATCCCTTTCAATACTTTCAGAAAGTGTCTTTGCTACCTTTGGATAAATCAATAATTCTTTTGCATAGTCATAAAATAAAACCAGTATTATGATTTTTGGAAAGACATAACCTTTGAAATACTCTTGATAGCTTTAATCCTGTCTTTGACAGAAGAGAAGTCTCCAAGGTGATTTAGAGGGCAGTTAGATTTACAGTACTTTAAGAGAGCACATATGCTCAGAGTGGATGTGGAATGACTCAGCCAAATAAACTGCTTTAAAAGGTAGTAATTTATAGAGAGAGACCAGTACAACTTTGGCTATCTAACAAAATATAAGTATCCAATTTGCAAGTGATTCCCTCATCCCCTCCAAACACTATATAATGGAGGTAAACACATAAGAAGGTGTGAACTCCAGTGAGGTGTGTAGGACTTCTGTGTCAGTTCCCTGCTGACTATAAAGAACTATAAAGTAATGTATGTTTGATACAGATCAGTATCACAGGGCTCTGGAAGGGAACTGCAGAGGGCTCTGGAAGGGAACAAGCCATCAGCCATCTTTTAAGCAGAGAATTTCTTCAGTGACAAATAGCAACACACCCATCACTGTTGTTGGTAAACTCTTCAAATCTGAAAAATACCTAACCTAATAGGGTAAAACGAAGTAAAAACCAGCTGTGAGAAAGCTCATACCTTACTGATGCTCATGCCTAGAAAATCTGCACAGCAATCTTTATTTCTGTGTTTAGTTTCATTATGGGGTTACTTTGTGTTTTCCCTTCAACTGGCCTACTACATCAAAACAATTTGTTCATTATTAAACTCAGGCCACTGCAAGTATTCCTCACTTATTCAAAACTGATTGTGCTCTTTCCACACCCACTGCTTTCTGCTAAATTATATTGAAATATATTCCAGCTAAAATCATTTTAATTGCCCCAGAGGAAACAGTGAACAACATATAGGCAATGGGTGGCTGATATTCACTTTTTTTTTTTTTTTTTATAAAAAAAAAAAGGAGCAATGATCTATATTAACAGTAGATAATCCTTTGCTGCAATGCCTATTTTACTGCTGACCCATCTGAGCACTTCAGCCAGCCAATTGGCATTTATTGTTAAATTAGTCAGCATAATTGTTATAAATCTGAGAGACTCTTTTCAGTAAAGTGAAGATTATCAGTAATCTCTTATGGAAAGACAGGGGTTTAGGAAGGTATCACTTCATCATGGAAAACATGCATCACACTGTCACACATGAAAAAAATAGTTCATGGATTCCTCCAGAATAGAATCAGTTTAATTTGTGAGCAAAGGAGTTCATAAATTACCTGAGACTGTCTCACTGACTGTCAAAATGCAAAATTCTTATTAAAAAATCAGGACCCTGTATCAGATAATACCTCATGCATTCAGTAGTGCAGATGAATGGTACTGAACTTGAGCTGCTGGAAAAAATAATCAATGATTCTTACTTCAAAAAAAACTTTAGGTGCACTTATTTTTAAGTTACTTGCAAATATATGATTTTTTTTTTTCCAAAGAGAAAGCAGGATATCTAGTCTACATTGAATTTGCTGGAAAACAAACAAAATATGCTATAAGAGAGAAAATTCTATAGTCTTTAAAATGAAAAATGTTAATATCTTTGTGGAAAGTAAAATCTCTTATTAATTAATGAATTCCCCAATTATACCACCATTAATTTAAACCAATTACTCCCTGAAAGAGGCTTATAGCTGACTAATAAGGAGGGCTAGAGAGATTCTCTACTCCAAAAACTTGCTTTCTAAATTCTCAAATCAGAGAAAATAAATTATTATAAACAGGGAAAGTCAGGCCTAATGCCATTGTAAAGGATTTGATTTCCTGTGGAAATAGTATAGCTCTCAGTTCTAAGGGTTTATTTATGTACAGATGTGCAGCTCATTACATATGGAAAATAAAATTTATTTCGCTATATTAGTATTTGTTCTTAGGTTTCTATGAATATAATTACACTGGTGCATTATAACTGTTTTTAAAGGTTGACAAGGATAGAAGTAAGGATTTTGGAAATACTAGGCACCTAAAAACATAAAGCAAAAATACTAGTCTATTATAAGATTGCTATGTAATTGATAAGCTGATCACATACACGACAGAATTTCTCTTCAAGGAAACACCTCCTTTTTGGCCCAAGGTGTAAACATGGAGCAAAACCAAGCTTATCTTGGGACAACTAAAAATTCACTAAACTTATCACAAAATGATGATTTTGATTCCTTTTACACAAAATTCCCAGGTATGGGTGTGTGTGTGTATTTTTTACATGGTTCCTAGAGACAGAAAATAATAATATCAAGTAGGCACTGATAGACTCCTTCCTAAATGATGATTGAATAATACTTAAAAGAAAGGAGTAGGTGGTTGTATGATTAGTCTTCATCAGAATGCATAAATAGAAAGGGCAGTGAATTAGGTGCTATCACTGACTTGGTTACAGCATCTGCAAAAGTTGAACAATGACTTTGCAGACTTGATGTTCTCTAGCATTGTGGTTTGGGCAACACAACTACGTGAGTGCCATTACTGAAGGCAGACTAGGCAGCCTAGCAGATAAGTCATTAAGCTCAGCAGGGATGGACAGAGTATAACCCAGGCTTATCAATAACACTGAGTAAATCTGTTAGCTGTGAATGCTGATGCTGTTGTAAGCCACGGCCCAAGGGTTCAGCTGAGTGTGATCCAGGCCTGGTTTGACTCATGACAGCTCTGAAACTAAGACTCAGTTTCACTGAGAAAGTTGTTATTAAGACAGAAGAAAATATGTGGGCTAAAGCTGTTCAAGACAAAAGTGAAAGCACAAACAGAAGTGCAGTAGCTGAGATGGTAGTAGCCAACAGCTCAAGCATACGAGGGGGAAAAATATCAATATGAAAACAACAATAATAAACAAAGAAAATAAAACAACAATAACAAAAACAAACATCAAGCAGAGCATTAGAAGACAACAGCTCAGCAGCATCAAGATTCTGTCCATTCCAAGAAGAAAAATCCAACCCTTCCCGACTTACCTGACAGCGACCTGTCTAGGAGAGACTCATCGGCTGTGTCCTCCCTAGGAGATAGTAGGCACACTAATGTTTCTGCTAGTGGAGTGTTATTCCTTGCTATCTGCTATGTTAGCCAACAGGTAATACCTGTGTAATCTTGAACTGTGTATGTTCTGTGTGCATGGTGAAAGATGTACAAAGAAAAGTGACTATGCAGCATAGTTACACACTGTCTCACCCTTCTTTACTGGTACTAGCACTGAGTAGTGTAGTGATACCACCAGTCTCAAGCAGGAAAGGGGCCTGCTCTCAGCTGTGCTTCACTGAGGTTCAAATAAGAAAATGCAGCAAAAATACTAATGATTTTAATTACTCAAGTATTTTAACAACAACTAGAAAAAATTACTTAATGTCCTAAAGGGATTAATGCCCCAATCAGAGAAACATCCATGTGGGTGACAGGTCATATGGTCAGAGATCAACAATGAGAATCATCACATATGAAGAATGTTTTAAAGAGGAACCTGGAGAAAGAATTAGAGACTATTTTAGAAATAACATACAGGTAGTGCCAACACATTTTTAGAACATATTTAATATATGAAATAGACTGTGTCCCTTTCACTATTTATTATAGGATATATAGCGATAAAAACATGCTTGTTGTGCTGTTGGACAGCAACATAAAGCAGTATCTGCTGAGGATAAAAAAAAAAAAAGGACTTGTGAGTCAAACAACTTTGTGTTTAATAAATTCAGCACATTAAATCTGGCAGTAGCAGATCACAAGAAGCAGAATTCCCACAGAGATGCAGAAAGATGCTCCATGTGAGTTTTTGCTGATCTTCTCACTCAGTGATGAAAAGAAATTGCTTGGCTCTATTTTAACCCTGAATATTCTAATTTCCATAACAAAATATTGGCATCTCCTTTATATAATTTTTATCCTGTGATATTAAGATTACTTATCCAAAATGAATGCCTGCCAGGCTGATATGACATGCATAAGGTTATGGGCTTCCATGTGATTCATCGTTTTTCATCTATGAAT